TGCGGTACCGCTCCTGCCCAGCCGTGTCCTGGGGGAGCACACAGTCAGGGGGGCACAATGCAGAGCCATGCGGTGTGCACAGCTCTGGGGCTCAGCCAGCACCCAACTCCTGCCGGCACATCGCCCCGGGGCCGTTCTGCACGCAGTGCACACAGCAGAGGTAAGCAGCACTGCTGGCAAAGCTGGGATGCAGCGCACAGAACTCAGCCAGCATCCGGCTGCTGCCAGCAAACTGCCTGCGGGTCACTCCGTGTATAATGCAGGAATCACCAAACTGCTGCTGAGCCGATGGGCTCCACACACAGCATTGGTGCCTTAGGAATGCCCGAGGGCACAGAATGCAGCACTGAGCTGACAGCAGCACCCGGCTGGACAGCCCCACAGCCCCCAGCACCAGGACAGCCCAACCCCAACCCCAACCTTGGCCCTAATCCTGGCCCAAACCCTGACCCCCAGCGCTCACCCAGATCTGCAGCTTGATGCGTTTGTCATTCCTGTAGATGGTTTTGACCTTGAAGTCGATGCCAACAGTGCTGACGAAGGCGGGCGTGAAGGAGTCATCGGCGTACCGGAATAGGAACGAGGTCTTCCCTACGCTGCTGTTACCAATGATGAGGATTTTGAACATGTAATCAAAGTTCTGGTCTGAGGACTCCTTCTGTCCATAGCGGGAGTCGGTAGCGGACGCCATCTGCAAAGGGAGGAGGTGATGGGCGGTCACCGGTGGGGCCGGCAGCCCCCGTGGCACCGGGCTGTGCTGCTGCGTGGCACTGCTGCAGCGTGCGTGCGGACAGCAGAGTGCTGCGCTGCCCTGCTGCCACCCAGCCCTGCACAGCCCCCATAGCTGCTGCTCGCAACGCTGGACGCACCGTCCCCATGGCTGCCGGCAGCGGTGCCGGGTGCATCACCCCGACGGCCGCCACCAGCAGCGGACGGCCACGCACGGCCGCGCTGCTGCCGGCCGCGATGCCCACACTGCCGGTAGCAAAGCCGCGGGCATCGCCCTCACTGCTGCCGTCAGCGCTGCCGGCTGCATCGCCCCATCGCCGCCGCACGAAGCGGGGCCCGGAGCCCGGCAGGATGCGCTGCAGCCGCTCCCGCAGTTCCTCTGCAAAATGGCACCTGCAGCCGTGCCCCCGCACAGCGCGCCCGGCGGGGCTGAACCGGGGGGTGCTGGGGGTGGGGGGGGGGCACAGCACCGCGCAGCGCTGCACGGCGGTGGGCGCAATGTGCAGAGATGGGCGCTGCGTGCAATGCCCGGCACCGGGCGCTGTCGTAGGAGGGGGGGGCAGAGGTGATGTCGTTGGTGGAAGGGGGGGGCGGGAGCG